TTCTGCATAGTTCAATATCCCTGGGAGAATACTGTCACACACTTACAGACACAACAACAGGATCTCAAAATAGCTATTAAATAGTAATATTCTTTCTGTCTGAATAGGATTTTCACTGCTGGCTTAAAAGATAAGAATGGCTGGAGAATTTTTCTCAAGGACTAGGACAAGGATACATACATTAAGATTAGCGATCCTCCAGAAGGACTAAACCATGGAGCCTCTCAGAAAACCATCCCTTCCAGTCCTAGCTCAGTGTTCTCATCTATAAAATGGGTTAATACGCTCCACCTCATAGTATATATAAATGCCGGAAAAAGAAGTATGGCTTCGAACACAGAAGGAAGAGGACGCAAAAAAAGGCAGGTGTGTGCTTAGGGGCACTGCCTACAGCATGCATTTAAAACCATGTCATTCTGGGCTACCAGGAAGCCCAATAGAAATATTCCACTTCATCCCTTCGTATAGGACAACATGAACAAGCATTTAGTGGTTGAATGGTTATCCTGATGTTTGTGGCCAGGAAAGCGTCTCTAAAACAATTCAAAACATAGAACAATCCATGGAAGTAAACAACAACAACAACATTTTAATAATTGGCCCTCCGTTACCGTGACGACCTTAATGCTCTCAATCATCTTTGCAAGAACTCTGTTCTCTACTCTCTGTCCCACTTCTGAACTTCATTCTGTCTGCCTGGCAAAGATAAGCAAATACACAGATGAAATAAGAGGGACAGTCAACTTGCAAATGACATCACCGCTTTAAAAATGGGTCACAACGTTTAGGAGAGCTTTAATGGAGGGCCACAAGGCAGTGTGTGTGTGTGTGTGTGTGTGTGTGTGTGTGTGTGTGTGTGTTTGTGTGTCCCCACACACATAAGAGAGTATGCTATGTACACATGCTTAATGGAATTAGCCCTGATTTCAACTGATAAAAAGAAGAGAGATTAGGAAAGAGATATTTAAGATTAGGCACATGCTAAGTAGAGAAAATAACTCCCCAGGAAGCAAAAAAAAAAAGCTGAGTGCAAGCATAAGAAGGAGGAGAGACATAAGCAGCATTCACATCTCTGAGGGGACTGTGAACAGAGCCAAGGTCCCCAGGAGTTCTTCCACACCCCAGACCAGACAATAAGGGCAGGACAATGCCAAAGCTCCGCATCACAGATACTGCCACTCAAGGGAAAGCCCAGGAACCTCAAAATAGTCCTTCTTCCTCCTCTCTCTCTCTCTCTCTCTCTCTCTCTCTCTCTCTCTCTCTCTCTCTCTCTCTCTCTCTC